CCCCCCACCCCAGGAGGACCTCATCTTGCCGCACCACCACACATTCTACGAGCTCATCATCAACAAGGCGCGCGGCAAGAGCGGCCCGCTCTTCGACTTTGGGTGAGAGGGGCGTACTTGCCAGGCAGGACTCTGCCCCTTGGAGCAAGCGCGCGCACATGTGCACGCGAGGGGCTGGCACCGCCATGCGATCGAGCGAAAGGCGCATGTTTCAGGGCTACCGTGCTCCACAGGGCGTGCGATATAGATGCGAGCGCCCCGGCTCGGCGCAGCCTGCGCCCCCACCCCTCCTTTCGCCTCCTGTCTGCCTCGTCCGACCTCCGCGCCCGGTGCCCCTGAACCTCGTCCTGCTCCGACCCCCCAGTGTGACGGAGGACATTCGAATCTTGAACGACGCGTCTGTCGAGAAGACCGACGCCCACGCGGGTGAGGGCGCCGGACAGCCCCCGCCTTCCGCAACCGGCCCCAGCGGCGCCGCCGCGGTGCGTCGCCCCCGCCCTGGGCGCTGCCCCTGGCTGCTGGGCCCCGCCGATGCAGCCAAATTGCGGCCGCCCACGGTCAACCTCATCCACTCCCTCGTCGCAGCCACCCGTCACCCCTCAACCCCTGACACCAGTCACCTGTCGTCACTCGTCACCCCGCAGGCAAGATCGTGGACCGCCACTGGTACGAGCGCAACAAGCACATCTTCCCGGCGTCGCGCTGGGAGACGTACGACCCCGAGAAGGTGGGCAGGCGCCTTGATCTGATCTCGCCAGCCCGCCCCCAGATCTCTGCGGCTCGCTTTGCCCCGCCCGGCCGTCGACCTCTTTGCTTCCCAAAGTGTCACGTCATGAGGCCGCCCTGGGCGGGCGGGCCGAGCCCTGGGGCTTGCTTGTTTTGAGGCTGGGGGACGGGCAGATGAGTGGTAGGGCTTGCCGCTTTGTACTGCCCGAGCCACTGGTGCATGTGGGAGTGACCTCACCCCCGCGAAACCGGCCACCCTTGGCGCCACCCCCCACCCCTTCCCCCCCAGGTGTGGGACACTTACACCACGCACGGCCACGAGGTGCAGACCAAGTGAGCCGGCGAGGGACGGCAGCGAGCACAGGCGGCGCGGCCGGCGGCGGCGACGCGGCCCAGGACGGCGCGGCGGCGCCGGCACCCTCTGAGGGCGGCACACCCGACCCGGCTCGGGGCGGCGCCGCGGGGGCAGGGGGCGGCAGTGTACTGCCCCCTGGCTCTGCCCGGCGTTCGTGGCGCCTGCATGTGCTTCTTGGCCTGTAACTCTGTCTCTCTCGTCCCACAAAGACGCGCGGCAGTGCAGGCGGGATCCGCCGGGATGGGGGCAGGGGACAGGCCGGCTGGGGGACCCCGCAAGCAAGGAAGAGGGGTCCCTAAACCCAAAA